CCCCTGCCAAGAAGCAGGAATATTGCATTCAAATCACCCCTGACAGATGGCCATCCAGCCTCTGTTTAAAAGCTTCCAAAGAAGGAGCCTCCACCACACTCTGGGGCAGAGAGTTCCACTGCTGAACGGCTCTCACAGTCAGGAAGTTCTTCCTCATGTTCAGATGGAATCTCCTCTCTTGTAGTTTGAAGCCATTGTTCCATTGTGTCCTAGTCTCCAGGGAAGCAGAAAACAAGCTTGCTCCCTCCTCCCTGTGGCTTCCTCTCACATATTTATACATGGCTATCATATCTCCTCTCAGCCTTCTCTTCTTCAGGCTAAACATGCCCAGCTCCTTAAGCCGCTCCTCATAGGGCTTGTTCTCCAGACCTTTTATCATTTTAGTCGCTCTCCTCTGGACACATTCCAGCTTGTCAATATCTCTCTTGAATTGTGGTGCCCAGAACTGGACACAATATTCCATATGTGGTCTAACCAAAACAGAATAGAGGGGTAGCATTACTTCCCTAGATCTAGACACTATGCTCCTATTGATGCAGGCCAAAATCCCATTGGCTTTTTTTGCCGCCACATCACATTGTTGGCTCATGTTTAACTTGTTGTCCACGAGGACTCCAAGATCTTTTTCACACATACTGCTCTTGAGCCAGGCATCCCCATTCTGTATCTTTGCATTTCGTTTTTCCTGCCAAAGTGGAGTATCTTGCATTTGTCACTGTTGAACTTCATTTTGTTAGTTTTGGCCCATCTCTCTAATCTGTCAAGATCGTTTTGAATCCTGCTCCTGTCCTCCGGAGTATTGGCTATCCCTCCCAATTTGGTGTCGTCTGCAAACTTGATGATCCTGCCTTCTAAGCCCTTCATCTAAGTCATTAATAAAGATGTTGAACAGGACCGGGCCCAGGACAGAACCCTGCGGCACTCCGCTCGTCACTTCTTTCCAGGATGAAGAGGAAGCACCCTCTGGGTTCGTCCATTTAACCAATTACAGATCCACCTCACCGTAGTTTTGTCTAGCCCACATGATGGCTTGCCTTCAGCCAAGCCTACTGTGTCTGGATTTGTAAAAATAAAATGTACTCCCAGTTCTTTCCAGGAAATATAGCAAGCAAGAGTCCTGGAAGCTGACCTTGGAAATAATAACGTTGTGTGTGTGTGTGTATGTGTGTGTGTGTGTGTGTGTGTGTATAGATAGATAGATAGATAGATAGATAGATAGATAGATAGATAGATAGATAGATAGATAGATAGATAGATGCTGGAATGCCTGCTAAGTCTTAAGGACTGCTATATAAATAGTTGATATTTTTATATGCATATGTGTTTTATATTATTGTATTTTATGCCGTGCTTCATTTTTGTTTGTTTTTAGGAACTTTGTGTCATCTGTAAGCCACACAGAGTCCCTTCGGGGAAATGGTGGCGGGATATAAAAATGATTATACATCAGGATCATGTTTTTGGCTTAGTTGAAAGAGAAGTTGATAAAATTGGAGCAAACATTGCCAGCTGCTTTAATTAGGAAGAGAAATTAGAACCCTGACTTAGTTAAAAATAGCATATGATGAGGTTTATTGTTTTTAATTACTTATTTCTTCGGTTAGTCATTATATATTTATATTGATGCTATTTTATTTATTGTTTTCATTTGGTTTGTTTGTTTATTATGGCATTTAATGTTTGCCACTTTCTTCCTGGAAATTGCCCTGACTCCCCGCCCAGGGAGATAGATGAGTTGTTGTTATTATTATTATTATTATTATTATTATTATTATTATTATTATTACTATTACTTCCTAGTTTTCAAAGTAATATGTCAAGAACCAATCTTAGAATTAGCAGCTTTCATCTAAGGCCCAGAATTCTGATTAAAATTGTAGGCTATGAACTCAAGCTGTTAAATGTTACTATTTAGATAAAAATATAAGGACAATCTCCCCATATCCTACACCAATATGTCAGACTAGAAAAATCCAAAAGATCATCTGTATTTCTAGTTAAGTCATTTAGTCTAATCAGAGTAAGGAACCACTACTATGAAAACCTAAGTGATACTGTGAACTACTTTTTTGAATGACTTTAAAAATATTCAAAAGAAGCTTGCAAATTGAAATATTAGAGCAATTCCAATCAACATAAACCACCAAACAAGATCCAGAAGCATTAGAAACTTCAGGTAGGGGGACAGGATAAAGCACAGTTTTAACTGGAACCTAGACTACCAAATCAAAGCTTAGGTAGGAAAATGAAATAAACCTTGGAAATAATATTGTTGCTTCTACCAGAATTTGGGACAGCCTGGCTAAGAAATTCTGAGGGCTTGGTCCAGTAAGTGACTTTTCAATGCTTTGAGTCTTTTTCATATCCAACCTAGCTTGAATGGTGATCGAGATGCAGAGCTCTGCAAATACAGTATGAAATAGACCTATCTAGAAATCACTGTTCAGTTATAAACATATTCACACCACAATTCATAATGGACATCAGTAAAGGCACCCACAGAACTATTTGGGAAGAAGAGAGATGGTGTCAGGAATGGTACCCAGCAACAGCCAGAAGGTCTCCAGTGCAATTTGAGCTACTGCTGAAGTAAATCAAAGCATCCTGATATGCAAGGCAATCATTTATTTAATATGCAATATATTATGTAACTTCTACAGTTAATGGGTGCTAGACGTCCATCAGCAACAGTGGAAACTCCAGGTTTCTCAGTCTTTTCTGTCATTTGACCATATCTCAGAAGGAGGTGTAGAAGTCTAGTATTAAAATCATGGTGTATCTTGCAGATATCAGAGTGAATGGACAGCAAAGCAATACATCATGTAACAATCACTAAGAGTTTGAAACAATGTCACTGGTGGTTTAGTAAAAATAGAATATTTTTAAATAAATTTAAAAAATGAAAAATATGTTTTTTCCAGTAGTGGGAAAATCTGAGGAGAGAAACCTGGATTAGAAATTTCAGTTTGGGACCCACTCTGACCAAAATCCATACTGTGTGTGTCTGTGCATGTGCAGAATATAGCGTTTTCTGCTCAAGAAAAGCAATTTGTATGCAGGTGAAAAGTAATCTAATTTCCTTTTTTCAGTGGGTCTGTCTATAATCAATGGTGACATGTTTGATTACAGCCATATAGCCCAAAGCACTTTGGCAAAGAAATGGACTGTGTACTCCCATTGTTTTCCTCCTACTATTCCAAATCTTTTCAAGCATAATTGCTTTGTCTATTAAAACTGCATTTGATACGATGTCTGCTTTTAATTAATCTTTCTGATTTTACAATCCAGGTGTCAGAAATACAGTTCTGTCAGAAAATCAATCACTTACTTAATAGAGGTGCTTTCGTTGCATTTTTATTGTCTCTGTCACAAATAATAAAAATAATATGTTTCCCTGAGCCTGAACTATTCCTCCTCAATTAGATATCAATCATAGGAAAAATAGATGCTATATTAACTTGGAAAGCTACAACCCTTTGTTCTAAATGAAGTACAGCCTACCTGATTAGATAGAAACTCAGAAGTATTTTTCAAGACACTTTAAATAGAGTGCAGTTGTAGTTAGAATAGTTAGTAGTGATAGGGTATGTAGCTTTCCAGTAATTGTGTGACTGCAACGCCTATAATATCTCACCACTAGCCACACTGGCTAGGCCACTAGGATGGTGAGAACATCAGTCTAGTGATATATGAAAAGCCATATTGCCATTCCTACCATATCTATATAAATAAAAATGTAATGTTAGTTTGTGGGATTAACATAACTCAAAAACCACTGGAAGAATTGACACCAAACTTGGACACAATACAACTATCAGGCCAACAAGTGACCATCACTCATAAAAACACTGAAAAGCACAGCAGAAGAGACTTAAAAAGGCAAAAAATAAAAATTACATTACAACGCATGTGCAAAACCACATATATAAATGCAAACACGCATATATACACATATACACAAATATATACACACGCATATGTACACCTATACACACACAAAACACATATGTACACAGACTGGGCCACAGCAACGTGCGGCAGGGGATGGCTAGTAGCAAAATAAAAAAGACATACTCTCAATTATATGTTAGGGCATGTCTGTATCCTTCAGATTTTGAATTAGCAATCTTGCTATCTTATATAGCCACTCCGAGTTCCCTGGGGAAGAGGGGGCAGGATATAAATAATGCTTAATTATTATTATATAAAAATATAATTGTTACAAAAATTTGTAACCAACAGCAACATCCTGTAAAGAACAATGACAGTGGTAACAGAAATCAAAAACCGTTACAACAATGATAAAATACAGTATACAAAAAATAATAATTGCTACAAAATGTTAAATTAACAACAAAACTCTGTAAAAACAATGAAAGTGGTAAAAAACAAAGATCTGTGGCAACAGTGATGACAACTGTATAATATATTCAGATAATTTCGCACAAGCAACCTATATGGGATCTCAAGGATTTCAGCACAATAATTGGCTAGCAAAATAAATATTTCACTACTGGTATTTTGTTTTCCCTGATGTAATAATAATAATAATAACAAACAAACAAACAAACAAACAACTGTATTTGTATTCCACCCCATCTCCCCAAGGGGACTCAGAGAGGCTCACAACAATATAATTATACAAATTATCTCATCAACTACACACATAAATATATCCAACTTGGCAATGAGGGAAACAATATAAAAATAAAGCATTTTAAAATTAAATAAAGATCTGCATAACTAGGCAGGAACCAAACTGTGTTATTGCTGATTTTGTGCAAAACTCCTCCCCAGCAGTTTTGCACAGAACATGCATGTATTCTGAAGAAAAAAGTGAGTTTCTGTAAGCAGTATTGTCATCAGAAATTCTTTTCATTAAATCACATGTTTTTCCAGACATTGACAATTTCCAGAAGCCAACAAAAGCTGAGTTTATTTTAACAAAACATGCTAACTTTGCACAAAAAAATGTTTTCATCCACTTCCGGTTTGCAGCTATGGCGGCAGGACGCAGGTAGAAGGAGCTCCGTCTTCTAACTGCAACTTGAGTGAGTCACTGGGTTGAGCTGAGTCAAGCCTGACAGAGCTCCCCTCCCCCTGTGGATGGATACAGGGGGGTACGCTGATACCCAACAGGCCACCTATATCTGACGCCCCCAAAAGCCCCTATACCCCGCAGCGGGGCGGGAGGGAGCGGAAGGTGACTGTGGGTTGCGAGTGACCACCCATGAAACAGGTCGTAAGACCTGTATGAACTGCCAACACTGCAAGCAAATTTTATTTAAAGAAGAAAATTTGAAGGCGCAAGCCGAAAAGGAGCAGAGGCTCTGAAACCAAGTACTTATGTCCTAAGGAGTGGGGAAGACCCGAAAGGAAAGTAAGCCTACTAAAAGCTAACGCGGCATCAAGAAAGGAAAACTGATCTCATTGCAGCCGTACAGTTGGATAGCTGCAGAGCCAGACCAGCCGGCGAAGAGCAGAGCTAAATGACAAAACCAATGAACTGACCAAACTAAACATCTAGATGCACCAGAGACACCTGAGGCATCCAGAGGCACCACAACAAAGAAAACAATGAGAAAGAACGACCGTGGGGACGCGTAAGGGAAAGAACTAGAGAAACCCAGGCATAACTAGCCAGGAACTAGCTAGCCAGAAAACGCATTCAATAACATTAACATTAACATTAACAAAGAAGAAAAGGGAGCCTCCTTTCCAGAGCTCCACACAAGGAGACCCAGAGACCTAGCGCATACCAGCGAGGAGTGGAGAAGCGGGAGCATCCTCGTGAGGCAGAGCAGGACTCCGGGCGAGGAGGCAGGACTCTGGGCGAGGAAGAGCAGCCGGCAAGGACAGGGAGGAGGCCGAGCGGGGCAGAGGCACGTCGACGCGGCCACGCAAAGATGCCAGGCCACAGGGACGCAGGCGCAGTAACGTCACAACGCCGCGCAACGCGGAGGCGTGGCGAAGCGACCCACCCGGAACTAGGAAAGAGCCGGAAGAGAAGAGCCAAAGGAAAGCAGAGAGATCGGAGGAGCGGAGAAGAGAAAGAGGAACAGAAGAAGACCGAGAGAGAGAGACTGAGACTGTAAAGGACAAAAAGACACACAAAGGTGGGAAAAAAAGAAAAGAAATATAAACCTATAAATTATAATAACAAAGGCGTAAAAAAGATGTAAAAAGGAGAGAAAAGGAAGAAGTGGAATTAAAATATAGGGCTGAGGCAATGATAAGGCGATAAGGGGAGGACAAAGAAGAAGTGAAAGAATAAAGTGAAAGAACAGAGGACTGAATTAAATAGGAAAAAACTGAAGCGCAAAAGAAGAAGGAAGGTAAAGTAGGGAAAGCCCCAAGAGGGGAGGGGGAGATAGAAAAGAAATAGTCGGGAAGGAAGGAGGAAAGTAGAACTATAAGTGGGGAGAATAACGACAAGAAAGGGCAAATAGAAAGAGATAGAAAGATAAAGACTAGAGCATAGAACATAGTCATAAGTGGAAATTGGGCTAATGATACTAAAACAACAACCAAAAATAAAGAAATAAATAAATAAAAATAATAACAATATCAATATACAAAAATAAAATAATAATAATAACAAAAAAACAGCCACAAAATCTAAAATAAACAAATTATACAAACACATCCAAAATAACTAATTAAATATAGCATAGCAGAAGAATTATTACGATCAACTGATGTCTTAACAACAAGGGATAAGTATAAACGGAACTTAAGAGCTCAAGACAACAAGACAAAGCCCCTGAGCCCAATAAATCAAAGACAAAAAACTTAAACCCACCTAGAAAACAAAGCAACAAAACTATGTCAGCTCAAAAGACAAAGATGGAGAAGGAAATAAAAGACCCGAAAGTATTAGGAAGAAAAGGATCAGGACAGGAGGAAAATCTTATGAAAGACATATGGAAAGAACTACAGAAGATAACGGAAAAAATAACAGAAAATCAGGAAGCAAACCAAAAAGAACTGAAAACAATAACTGAAACATCAAGCACAACTAGATCTTATAAGGAAAGAACTCAAAGAGGATATAGGTCAAATAAAAAAAGATCTTACAGAAGCCTGTAGCGAGATAAAAACAGTGAAGACAGAGAACAAGGCACTAGCGAAGTCCCAGAAAAAAATACAAAACAACATAGAGGATCTACAGAACAAAAATGAGAGACTAGAGAAAGAACTGGAGAAATTACAACAGAAGGAAGCAGAACACCTCCTAAGACTAAGAAACCTGCAAGAGGAAACACAAGAAGATCTGAGACCTAAAGTAATCAATATACTAGCGTCATACCTAGGCAAACAAGAAGACATGATAGAAAAAGAAATCGACCGAACCTACTGAGTCCAAACGAGATTTGCCAAACAGAACAACCTAACAAAAGACGTTATAGTTTGCTTTACACGGAAATGCACTAGAGATGAAATCCTTATCCAATCCAACAAAAACCCAATAATAAGAGATGGGAAAAAGATAATTGTCCTAAAAGAAACTCCACAAGTAGTGTTAGCACGGAGAAAGAAATACTTCTTTCTAACACACGAACTAAAAAGAATTAAGATTAGATTTAGATGGGAGAAGACAGAGGGGCTGATGATAACATACAACGAAAGAAAACATTGGATTAAAAATGAAGAAAAAGCTAGAGAATGTTGTAACATGTTAAAGAAAGAACAACCTAATGAAGGAGGGGAAAAGCAACAAAGAACAGGCAGAATGAACAAAAGACCAAGACCACCATCCTCAGAGGATGAGGAACACAAATTAGACCAAACAACAGCGCTACTGGAAGAGAAGGATGAAGGGGAACTAGAGGAGGAGGAGACAGAAGAAATAAAAAATAATGATGATGTATGAACAAAAACTGAATATTCACTCGCTGAATGTAAACGGTTTATACTCCCCAAATAAAAGAAGGAGAATATTTCACCGAATAAACAAAGGTAATTTTCACATAATAGCGCTTCAAAAGACTCATATTTGTCACAAACACGTTGCTCATCTGGTACAGAATAAACTTGGCAAAGAGTACTACTCCTCGTTTGAAAAAAAAGGGGAGTAGTAATCTATGTTAAAAGGGAGATCCCCGCGGAATTGATGTTCAAAGACCAAGAGGGCAGGGTGGTAGCGGTAATGATAAATATGGAGAGCTAGAAAACGCTTATTTGCAATATATATGCCCCAAACGGGCCAAAAACAAAGTTTATAGAGGCTCTAAAAGAAAACATACAGAAGATAGAATTTGATAATTTAATAATAATGGGTGATTATAATGGAATACTAGATAAAGAATTAGACCAATGCTCACCAAAAGCAAGACAAACTAAACTAGATAAAACCCTCCTGCCTAAAAAATTCCTAAACTTCAAAGAGGAATTTGATCTCCAGGACGCATGGAGACACTTCCACCCCAGAGAAAAAGATTACACCTTTTTCTCATCACGCCACAGGACACGGACAAGAATAGATATGATTTGGGTCTCAAACTCATTAGCACCCAATATCCAAAAAATTCAAATAATGGCCAGAGAGCTGTCAGACCATTGCCCGATAACAATGGAATTTTACAACAAGGCCGAGAATAGAAGATGGCGCCTCAACAAGAATTTACTAAAATCGGAAGAGGATGTTTCAAGAAATAAAGAACTAATCAAGGACTTCTTCAACACAAACGATACAGAAGACGTCTCCCCCCAGATAGTTTGGGACACTCTAAAGGCAGTAATGAGAGGCAACTTGATCAAGCAAAACGCCATCAGAAATAAAAAAAGAAATAAAGAAGTGAAAGAAATCGAGAAACAGATAGAGGAGAATGAGCAAGCCCTGAAGATGGATCCGGAGAAAGACTCAATAACCAAAAAGCTGAACAGGCTGAAGAAGAAAATATACCACCTAGATCTGGAATCCCTCGCAAAACAATACAAATATGCAAAACAACAAGACTTCGAAAACGCAGGTAAGCCCGGTAAGTGGTTAGCCAGGAAGGTAAGGAAAAAGAAACAATCAACATACATAACAAAGATCAGAAAAGACGAGAGCCTAGTAACTACAAACAAGGAAATTCAGGAAGAATTCCACAATTTTTTCACAAGATTATACACGAAAGATGCAATAAAAGAAGAGAAAATAACCCAATATCTAGCACGCCTAAAACTGGAGAAAATAACGGAAGCACAAAGGGAAGGACTAAACAAAGAAATAACAACACAGGAAATAGAAGAAGCAATTAGAGATTTAGATTCCAGCAAAGCTCCCGGTCCGGACGGATACACCGCTCTATTTTACAAATCTATGAAGAACGAAATAACATCACATTTGAAAAAAATAATGAACCTAGCGCTGCAAACCAGCACTATACCGGACTCATGGAAGGAAGCGGAAATAGTGCTTATAGGCAAAGAAAATGCGGACCCAGTGGAAGTACAAAACTACAGACCTATCTCACTCCTAAACGCCGATTATAAAATCTACGCCAACATTATGGCCAAGAGGCTAAAAACGCTACTAAAAGGATGGATAGGAGAGGAGCAAGCAGGCTTCTTACCAAATAGAGGAGTGAAAAACAATATGAGAACAATCATCAACTCGATAGAGGATTATGACATTAACATACAAAAAGAAGTAGCGTGGCTTTCTCTGGACGCAGAGAAATCTTTCGATAATCTTAGTTGGTCCTTTCTCAAATTGCTCCTGGAAGAAATAGATATAGGGTACTATTTTAAAAACGCAATCAATGCAATATACACAGACCAAACAGCGAGAATTGTAATCAACAACCAGAACAGAAAAAATAACAATCACAAAGGGCACTAGACGAGGCTGCCCACTGTCCCCCTTACTATTTATCCTTGCCTTAGAAACATTACTAAAATCAATAAGGGAGGACAAAGAGGTTATAGGACTTAAAGTGGCGAAACAAAATTACAAAACCAAAGCTTTTCTGACGACGTAATCTGTATTGTGGAAGACCCGGTGAAGAACATCAGAAAATGGCTAGAGAAGATGGAGAAATTCGGGGAGGTGGCGGGTTTTAAATTGAACAAAAGTAAAACAATAATCCTAACAAAAAACATGTCAAAATCAAAGCAAGAAGAACTAAACATAATGACGGGCTTCAAAGTTTGCTCTAAAATCAAATATCTGGGGATCTGGATAACGGCCAGCAATGCCCAACTTTTTAAAAATAATTATGAGACAACATGGGCTAAGGTAAAAAAAGATCTGACCAGTTGGAGATTCCTAAATCTCTCCCTATTAGGGAGAATTGCTTTAATAAAGATGAACGTCTTGCCTAGACTCATTTACCTGTTTCAGAATATCCCAATCATAAGAAACAACAAAGTGTTTGACCAATGGAAAGGAGATATAGGAAAGTTCGTATGGAATGGCAAAAAAGCAAGAATTAAACACAAAATCATGATAGATAAAAAAGAAAGAGGGGGCTTTGGCCTACCCAATTTAAAAACGTACTTCGAGGCATGCGCACTAGACTGGATAAGGGAATGGGCGATGCTCAAAAACGAAAAAACTTTAGAGCTAGAGGGATTCAACCTGAGAGTCGGTTGGGATGCTTACCTTTGGTACGATAAAATAAAAGTAGAGAAGAGCTTTGGCAACCATTTCGTCAGGTCAGCGCTTATAAAAATATGGAATAGATATAGAAGGTATTTCTACACTAGGACACCACTCTGGGTATCACCGACAGAGGCCAGCCAGAGAAGACTCCTTGGCTGGAAAAAGTGGCCTACACACAGGGATCTTCTCAAGTACAACAGCAGAGACAACAATTGGAATCTGAAATCCCAAGCAGAACTGGTAGAAAGCATAGGAAACATCTCATGGCTACAATACCATCAGTTAAGCGAAGCATTTAAACAAGATCAGAAGGTAGGATTTGAAGTTAAAGACACAATTTGGGACAAAATACTTAAATTAGAAAAAAAAACTATAACAAAAATCCACAACCAGTTGTTGGAATGGGAAACGGAGACAGAGGGGGTGAAAAATTGCATGGTAATCTGGGCCAAAAACTTTGGCAGGGGAATCAAGATCCAGGAATGGCAAAATATTTGGGAAAAA